AGAGAGTTCAAAGACAGGCAGCACTACCTCTGGATCCCGTACCGGGGCGGCATGGCCATGGAGTCCTTCTTCATCTTCTGGGGCTACCTCATCCTGCTGAGCGTCATGGTCCCGATGACTATGTTCATCATGTGCGTCCCCCGTGGTCCCCCGCACCCACGGGGCCACGGGGAGGCACCGGCGTGAGCGAGCTAGCGGCGGGCAGGGCCGGGGGCCTAAGCCCTTGTGCATTTGCAGGGCGGAGTTCATCTACCTGGGGAACAGCATCTTCATCAACTGGGACAAGGAGATGTACTACACGCCGCAGGATGTGCCTGCCAAGGCGCGCAACACCAGCCTCAACGACCAGCTGGGCCAGGTGGAGTACATCTTCTCGGACAAGACGGGCACGCTCACGCAAAACATCCTGACCTTCAAGAAGTGCTGCATCGACGGCCACGTCTACGGTGGGGCCCCGGCCGCTCTGCCCCACCGCCAGGGTCCCCTCCTTCCCCAGGGCTGCCCAGGGGGTCTGCGAGTCTTGACACCTCAGCAACCTTTGCTCTCGCCAAGGGGGGCCGGGTGCCCAAGGGCAGGGGCCGCAGGAACCCTTCCCCCGCAAGTGAGTCCCAGGGAGCTGAGGCCTGAAGGGGGTCTTTCCCCAGGTCCGGATTCAGAGAGCAGGACTCCCAAGGTGAGCCCTGCCCACCAGCCCCAGCCCCAGCCCGGCGGCACCGGGATGCCAGAAGGGATGGGCTGCGACCTACCCACAGCTGGCCACGCCCCGCCGCCCCCAGGGGAACCCCTATCTATGGAACAGGTTTGCCGACGGGAAGCTGCGTTTCCACAATGAGAAACTGCTGCGCATGGTGCGAGCCGAGAGGGACAAGGTGGTGCAAGAGTTCTGGCGCACGCTCGCCATCTGCCACACCGTCATGGTCCAGGAGAAAGACAGTGAGCGCGGCCGCCCCCGCCTCTCCTCCAGCTCCGAGGTCGCCCAGGTTCCTGGGGGTTTGAGATGGTCCCGGCCTCAGAGCTTTTCCACTGGGCTTAGAGCTGAGGCCAGAGATGGCTTAGCGCTGGGATTGGAGGGAGAGTGTGTCATCGTCAGGGCTAAAGGGTGTCCGGGACTGGGTTTGAGCCTGACAGGGTCATCTAGACCGGGACCCAAGCGCCCACCTCCCTCGGTTGGGCTTAGAGGTTGTCCAGGCCCGAGGGACCACCATCCCAGAAATATCTGTTAGCACCCGAGGGGCCTGTTCCTGCCCCCTGTGCCATGGAGATGGAGGGGCCCCGCCATGTGACCCCAACAGGGCCCACGTGTGGCCAGCTCTCTGCAAACATGCGCCTCCCCCCATCCCACTGGTCCCCTCCCCCGCCAGACCGGCTGGTGTACCAGGCGGCTTCCCCGGATGAGGAGGCGCTGGTCACGGCGGCCTGGAACTTTGGCTACGTGTTCCTGTCGCGCACCCAGGACACCATCACGCTCGTGGAGCTGGGGGAGGAGCGGGTCTACCAGGTCCTGGCCATGATGGACTTCAACAGCACCCGCAAGCGGATGTCGGTGCTGGGTGAGCCTGGGCGGCCCCGCACCCCGGGGCCCAGGGTCGGGCTGGGTGGAAGGGGAGCGTGTGTAGGCAGCTGGGCCTCTCTCTCCCCTGACAGTCCGAAACCCGGAGGGCACCATCTGCCTCTACACCAAGGGTGCCGACACGGTCATCTTGGAGCGCTTACACAGGAAACACATCACGAAGCTGAACACAGAGGAGGCCTTGGCTGTGAGTCCCAGCGGGGAGGAAGGCTGTTGTGTGTCTGTGTGTGTGCGCACGTGCATGTGCGTATGGACAGGGATGGGGCAGGGCCAGGGAGGAGAGTGTGCAGAGAAATGGCTGCATCACCTGGGACAGTCATGGACAGTTGGGCAGGTTGTGCACTGCACAAAGCACTTCCTCTACCCTCCGCAACACACACACAGAGAATGGGAGGGGGCTGAACTCCAAAGTGTACCTGCTCAAAGAAGGTGTCGTCTTCTCATTGACACAAGCACAGCCTGTGGTTGGGCTTTGGCCCGGGACACCACCCCCCTCTCCCAGCCAAGCCTGGATTCCAGGACACACTCGGCCCTCTCTGCCCGAAACCTTTCCTTCCTGTGGGTGAAGCCCAAACTCCCCAGATCAGTCTTCAAGGCTGTCTCTTTCTGTCTCCCACTGGCCTCTCCAGCTAGCTTGTCTCTCCTTGCCCCTCCAGGGGCTCCCAGGGCCCCAATTTCTGACTTCTGGCTTGCAATTTCCCCCATGCTCAGGCGACGCATGGGGGCCTTTGCACATGTTCTTCCCTCTGCATGGAATGGCTGTCCAGGGCTTTGTCATTCAAACCTCTTGGTCCTCAGCTCATCTGCAAGGTGCCCACCTTCAGGGGGCCTCTCCTTCCCCGGCCCCCTAACCTGGGACTGTCACCACCCCAGCCCTGACCATACGGGGCCAGAGGGGACAGGGGCCAGTGGGCAGGATAGGGAAAGAACGCCGTGTGTCCCCTGACTCGGGGTCCCCTGGAGTGCCCTGCCCTGGCAGGGTGTGGGGGGAGCCAGGCGTCCAGTCTCTGGCCCAGAACTGGGAAAATGAGTTGGAATGATGGCCCAGAGCCCAGGAACTTGGCAGCGTGG